AGAACTACATAAAACACAATACCCAACTATTCGCATTTGTCAGTTTTCCCGCGCATAACCATGTCACCTTTTGACAGCTGTCAACGCATCCAATTGCGGACGGCAAATGTCAGCGATAGTCATTTTCTTTTGTTATCCGGTATTTTTCTTCTAAATAAATAGATATTTTTGCATGATAAAAACATATTGGCCTCTTTAATAGGTGTCTATTTATTAAATAATAAATTATTATGTATATATTATATATTGCAGGGAGTCAGTGGATGCACGTGACTCAGGACCGTTCCTTATGGCAGTCTATAGAGTATCTGTCCGGGGGGAAAGGGATTGTTAGTAATGGAGACTGAGAATCCCATTGCTAGCAATATACCCAACCAGGTCGACCTCCCCGCGGTTCTCCCTGGAAACTATCATGGTTAATTCCTGATGAATTCATCATGATGGGCTAACTGGCCTGTTTTCACTCTCATCTATCACCCTTCACTGGTGCTCCGCCAGCGTATTCCGTTAGCGCAGGCGGGGTTACCATACCAGTTTCACCCATGAGGAAGGAACCGTGAGGAAGGACATAGGCTTCTTATTTTACGAAAAATGACGGAAACGCGGATAAAGTCGCTGGCAACAGCTAGTATTTAATATATCATCAATATTGTATATTTATTATTTTATTTTATAACCTTCCATTAGTGGGAGGCCTATTTTTAGCAGAAAGAAAGAAAGAAATATGTATTTTTATTAAAGTAAACTTAGATTTAAGCATTTTTGCATAGTTATTTTTTTATTGCAGTGGACAGTTAACGGTTGAGATGATAATGACGGTGATGATACACCGTGATAAGAGATTAAATCTTTATATACGGTATGAAAAATGAACGCTCTACAGCGCTGTTGCGACTTTTTTTAAACTGGCTCAATCTATACGCATATGATCTATGTTTTTTTTGATGGGTGAAAATGGTATGGTAACCCCGCTTGCGCTAACGGGATACGCTGGCGGGGCACCAGTGAAGAGTGATTGATGAGAATGAAAACAGGCCAGTTAGCCCATCATGATGAATTCATCAGGAATTAACCATGATAGTTTCCAGGGGGAACCGCGAGGAGGTCGACCTGGTTGGGTATATTGCTAGCAATGGGATTCTCAGTCTCCATTACTAACAATCCCTTCCCCCCCATACGATCTATGTTAACTAAATGATTGCTGTTTAGTAGGTACAAACTAGTGAGACAGACGGTTTGTTACGCGACAATGTAGGTATGTATTTTGAAATATTCTCTTAAATTGCCTTTAACACTATTAGCCTTCATGAAATGGATATGTTTTTTTTTTTTTAACAATTAGTAAAATTTACATACAATAGTCATTATAATAAATTGGAAATATTAACGGAAAACTTAAACTTACCTAAGCTTTTAAATAATAAATGTAAATTAATATTTAAGGCGACACTTGTATAATTCTGACATTGTGGTTCTTGTACAGATAATGTATTTGACAACTAATCGAGTTTCTTTTTTTTTTTCAATTATATTCAATATTATATACATAGGTATATATTTCTTTTTAATTTTCAATTATTTAAAATAATTAATAATTTAAGGTGTTTTTTTTTTAAATAAAAACCGATTTAAGCTGCGCCAAAATTAGTTATTTTCATTCGAAAACTAAACTACTAAAAGGATTTTGATAAAATGTCCATGAAACCAATTTAAAAGTATATTCTTTCAAATAAAACAATATTTTTCGAATTCGATTGATGTATTAAACATAAAAATTTATACAGTCGATTTGGGAACCTGCTCCTTTTTTGAAGTTGGTAAACTACGTCACAGGCTTTCGCGTATAACGAAGTCGGCCTGGAAACGTAATAATAATAGTAGTTACTAAAGGTTCCCATACCCATACACCCCATACCCAAAGGTATACACATTTAAATAAAAAAAAATTCAGATCGGCTTTTAAAAAAAAAAACTGATAATTTTGTAAATATATGGATGTTAATTTTTTTCTAAATAATCTATTTATATAAATTTATTAATTTACACTATATTGCACCATTTATAAAAATAATAAATAAAGCAACTTTTGTAATGAGAAGTGATGCAAAAGGCGGCCTTATCGCTAAGCAGTCTCTTGCTGACAACCTTTATTATTCATTATAAAATAAATATAGGCCTAATTTTACAATTATAGGCACGAAATGTAAACTATGTAAATTTTAATTCATTCAACTGTATGACTGTGTTTCGGTTTAAAAGGTGGGATATGGCAGTGAATTTACAGGGTACAGAGGAATAACACCTGAGTTCTCGGGAATGGTAACGCATGGGGGGTATCATGGGCGAAACGGTATACTCTGTTATGTCCATGGTACTGCTCATGTCTATAAGCGATGGTTACCACTTTCCATCAGGTGGCCCGTTAGCTTACATAAAAAAATCTACATAGAGATACTTTATTATAATTATTAATATCGGTATTACTAAAGTTTAGATTCGGGTTTGACCAACTAATGTAGGCTTCGATAGGAGTCCTTATTCATGAGCACAACTCATGACTACTAATAAAATAATACGGACGCTATATAGCTATATAGTTGTGTGGTCCCGGCGTAGAATAGGCCACCCCTTCCTATCCCATAGGTGTCGTAAGAGCCAACCAAAGGAAAGCGAGGGATGGACAACAGCGTCTCTCTTAAAACATGTCCAAAGCCTAATTTCGGTTGCCAATCCGCCTGCCAAGCGTAGTAACTACTAACAAACCCCCCACCCCCCCCAAAAGAGGCTTAGTTTCAGCAATAGACAGTTAAAGGCTGATATAATGATGCAATTATGGTACTTAATTTTCTCCACTTACCTCTAAAGTACTGGGTAATAAAATCGTCTATGTATTGACTCGCTTATTTTGAAAAATATTTCATTAACAATATTACAGAAGATTTCCACTTCATTTCTTATTGCACAATCCGAATGGCATCAATAGAAACTCTCTAATAAGAATTAAACTAAATCTAATAAGATTTATTAAATTGTTAATTTAAAATTAAATAAGACAAAAACCTTTGAAACGATCTAGTCATTACGAACATTTCATGAACATTGAAATCGTTGTTAACAAGATCATTATATATATTATTTTACATATAAAATCGTAAAGAAGCTAAAATTACAAATAGTCAATATTTTTCGAAATTAATTTACATAGTATCATCATCATCATCATCATATCAGTTCTTAACTGTCCACTGCTGAAGATAGACCTTCCTCATTAAGAGCGATTTCGCTAGTAGTTGCCACGCTTGACAGGTGGGTTAGCAACCACAGATAGGCTTTAATGATATTTTAAAAGGAACGCTGCTGCTCATCTCTTGACTACAAACACTAGTAAGTAAATCAGCAGTAAGCCAAAGTATAAGCGATACTAAATTTAAATTAATGTGTATTGTGATTTTTGTTTGTCTGCATACGACCGGGCTTAATTTTTTTTTTATACGATTTAGAATAGCAAACATGCTGACGGCCCACCTGATGGAAAGTGGTAACCGTCGCCTATACACATGAACAGTACCATGGACATAACAGAGTATACTGTTTCGCCCATGATAACCCCCATGCGTTGCCATTCCTGAGGATTCAGGTGTTATTCCTCTGTACCCAGTGAATTCACTGCCATATCCCACCCTTCAAACCGAAACACAGCCATGCAAACACAATTGCTTCACGGTTGAAACACGAATGGGACAGAGGTACTCAAGCAATGGACTTTTGTACAAAGTAGTCTGGTATAAGTTTAAAATATATAATATATATATATATATATATATATATATATATATATATATATATATATATATATATATATATATATATATATATATATATATATATATATTGTTGTATTGTTCTATGTTTATTTTAAGTAAGACAATAATTTGTATTAAAATTATCAGATATTAATTTTATTTACCAAGTGTAAAACAATAATGAAAAAATATATTCCGATAGAAATTCATTCTAATACAAACATAAGAGAAGTCATAAGCGTAGCTAGTAATTTAAACATAAAACTGACTGAATTGTTCCTGTTCACGGTGATTCTATATCGAACACAAAAAAAAATGCCCTACGCTTTTATAAAGGTCACCGGTTAAGATAGACAGTTACTATATTATTCATACAAAACTCATGTTTAATGTGTCAACACGTCGCTACTGCATATTTTAATAGTATATTCCTTTCCTCGACTTTATATTCTGACAACGCAATTAAAATTATTCAGCATAAATCAAATATAGCATACGTATTGATAGATTGTGATAAATCATCGTTGTAGTCATGTAGGTAATATAATAAGCAGCCAGTTTCCTATAATTTATTAAATGAAATACCTATAGAATCTGTAAAATATCATCATTGACAACGGTAATAAATATTTCTTATAAAATTAATATTTTAAATAAATCGACAAGAGAAAAAAAAAATCTTTAAGGAATAACAGTTTGTAGCTAATTGGAGACTTATCCTTAGCTACTAGCAAAGTCGAAGGTCACATTGTTCTCGATACATATAAATACTTATTTCCGAACATAGTGAAACACCAATTAAGATCTTATTAATGTAGTGCAATAATGTATTTAAAGAAGAGAAACACGCTTGGAAAAACAATGAAATCAAGCAAGTTAAGGATCTACCTGACGTAAAGTGATAAACGGTTACCCATTTACTAGAAAATCACCGTGGACAACTTCTTTCAAACAATTTTAAAAGGCAAAGATTTATTAAATCAATAAGTACAAATGACATGATAAATGTTTGTCTCAGCTTGTAAATGTATACAAATATTAGGTACAGTGATACCAATTAGCATAATCTTCAAATTACATTTTCAATAGCATGTTACTTCGCCATCTTTTTTTCTTTTAATATAATTTTAATCACACACAATAAAGTTACTGTCCATAATGTATCGATGGAAGAATAAATAATTATCTATAACTTACCGGAGCTAGGCCTATCGCTGTATCTTGTGCAGTAAACCCAAGCAGGCCATAGTGTCGCATTCCCCTGAGAAACTTGACTGTTCGTATCCGTGCTTCCGCAGGTCGACGGCGCCCCGCTGGAAGTCGACGAAACAATCGAACTGGCCGAATCTGGCCTCTTCTGTGCTTCTACAATCTTTGGTAACTCCTTCTCTTTTTGAATATGCTCGCCAATCTGAGAGACGGTTTGTCTCAACCCACCGAGCGGCGGTAATCGATTAAAATCGTTCGTGTCCTTCGATTTCAAATAATCAAAACTGTATTTCTGGTAATCGTTCTGGTTTTTTGACAAGTCGTAAGGTTTGTACAAGATACTGTGGTTAGGTCCGACGGGTTTTGGCCCTTCGATTTTGTTCGTTTTCCTAAGTGCATTCAAACCGAATTCAGGGTGTAATATGTTAGTTATTGAAAAGCCTATTGGAGCCGACGGCTGCGCTCTTTGATTTCTCGCTTTATCCGGCTCAAACCTCTGCTCGTCATGTATTTGGGGCTTTACATCCGGAGTGTCAGGTCTGTAGTAGTTCTGGTAGTTGTCTATTTCACTCTGATTCTGTTCAGGGCTTGGAGGTGGTGAGTTAGGTTGCACTTTGACTATTGTCATGCCTGGTAAGTTTCTCTCGTACCTCGGCTCGATTGTGGTACAGGTGTATTGGCTTGGAGGGCAGTAATTGACCTGGCTATCCCCATGAGGGACGGGGACTCTTCCAGTGACAGGCCCAGGGCTGTTGGCCTGGTTTGGACTGCACCGGTCCTCAAAAGCCATGTCATAAACCACCTGTCAAAACACAACGCCAAACCACCCGCGGCGTAAAGAAATCTCAATCAACCGTGACGCAGTCCTATTGAACGACGAGTCGAAAACACACAATGCGTTTGTCCCAACAAATTATGCAGTCCGTACACGATTTAAATTCATTAAACTACAAACGTCCGAAGCGATTATATGAATGTCAGACACAGTTGACACAAGTTTTGAATATGGCATTAATATTTATCGGTCCGAACGATTCATTAGCATGATTTCTTAATTCGATTCCGAGTACCGTCGCATTGTTATCAGTACGCACTGTCTTCTCTTTTTAAATTTCGAACCGCGATGGACAGCTGTGACAGATTGAAACGTCAAAATGTGTTTGAAACGGACGTGGGACTGCGCTCGCGGCGGCGGCGGCCGTGCGACTGCGCCCCGCGCCTTCTTAGGGGGACACGCCCCCGAACAAACAAGCTTTTTTCCCTTCCCCATCCGTTTTGTAGGCGTCAACCATCGGCGCTTTCCAAGTTAAACAGCGCCATAGCGGTTCGCGCGTCTCGCTCGCACATACTCCCATCTGCGACGTCGGAACGAGACGGCCTATCTACAATTGATTTAACCTGATTGTGTATTTAGTGTTCTTCGTAGAGATTTGTAATTCAGTTGTAAATTGCCGCTATGGCTCTTTTGCGGGGTCGTAATGTATCAATAATATTGCGGGTCGCTTTCTGAGCGTTCGCGGTGCGGAATTTCAATTAAAGTTTGACAGAATTATTATATTGATAGGTAGGACGCCATTTTGATGAGTTATTGGACCGGCCGCGTTCGGAAACTTGTATTTTTTTAGATTATGACATAATGTAATTAAGTTGTAGACTATATTTTTTTTTAGGTTTCAACTATTGAATGAGTCATTTTTCTTTTGTTTGTATACTATTATTATGCGAGTGGATTGATTGGACGGGCATGTATGTATAGCGATTCGATTGAACGATTATTTCGTTAACTCGATTAGCGAATTGAATTACATAGTATCGAATGGAACCAATTGGAAGTCTTAATTGTTGCTAGTTGACCATAAATACGTTGGCTGATTGATGTACCGTTGCAAAATAACATGATAGCACCATTGATGGGACCCTGTTACAAACAGGCATGTCTCAAATCAATAAAATATGGACGCAATTTGTCTCTCATCGTGTAATTGAGCAGATAGGCATGTAATATTTTATTAAGAACGGAGACAGTTCATTTTATGGCAATTTAATTACTGTAACCAAGGTATTTATCGCGTACCTAATGGAAATACCTTTAAAAATTGATACTAGCTTATTCCACGTGTCCACTAGGTACTACTTTGGTAGAATGGGATCGATTCTAAGGCACCGTTCTTTAAAAGTATCTTTCTTTAAAAGTCGATCGCTTGGGTACCTCTGTCCCATTCGTGTTTCTACCGTGAAGCAGTTGTGTTTGCATGGCTGTGTTTCGGTTTGAAGGATGGGATATGGCATGAATTTACAGGGTACAGAGGAATAACGCCTGAGTCCTCAGGAATGGCAACGCATGGGGGTATCATGGGCGAAACAGTATACTCTGTTATGTCCATGGTACTGCTCATGTCTATAGGCGACGGTTACCACTTTCCATCAGGTGGGCCATCAGCTTGTTTACCATTTTTAATTGTATATAAAAAAATATTTATTTATTAAAACTGACATTTCAATTTGATATTTTACAAATTCTGTTACCTATCTCCACTATATATTTTATTTTGTAATTCACTATATAAATGTATGATTAATGAATATATACCTATGTAGGGATCGTTGGTAATGGAAAGGTTAGTCCACATTGCTATCAATATATCCTATCAGGTCGACCTCCAAGTGGTCCTTCCTGGAAACCATCGCATTGAATTCCAAGTGTATTCATCATGATTGTCTAAATGACCTGCCTTTTCGTATACCGATGGCGTAAGCGGGGTTATCATTCCATCATCACCCATTAAAAAAAACAGGGTTCATGTGGGGGGAAGTGACTGTTAGTAAAGGAGACTAAGGAAGACAAAGTAAGTCTTAGCAATGGTGTCCCCCCGAATAAAATCACATATTAAACAGAAATTTTTTTATACAACTTAGAATTGCCATTCTAGACGCTGACGGCCCACTTGATGGAAAGCGGTAACCGTCGCCTATAGACATGAGTAATACCGTGAACATAACAGAGTATACTGTTTCGCCCATGATATCCCCCATGCGTTGCCATTCCTGAGGACTCAGGTGTTATTCCTCCGTACCCTGTAAATGATAGAATGATACTCTTGAACTGACTTCATGCACAATTCGTTAGTAGGTGTGGTAATACAAATAGAATAATATTAATAACTTTCGTCCTCATCATATCAGGCTTTAACTGTCCACTGATGGAAATAAGCCTCCTTGAGGGGTTTTGCCAGTAGTTACCACGCTTGGCAGGCGGGTTGGCAACTGTAGTTAGGCTTTAGAGATATCTTAACAGGGACGCTGCTGCCCATTACTCGCCCTCCCTTAGTCGTTTCTGACGAGACCCATAGGAAAGGCCCTTCCTTAACCGAAACCAAGATGCTAACGAAAAGATATCGCTTAAATAATATTAAATAAAAAAAAAAAAACAAGTAAACGGCTGTTAGAAAAATTATGATAAATTCTATTAATATCTAACTCATTTTACTGGAGAGAAAGAGATTGTTAGCAATGGAGTTCGACATTGCTAACCCTATCAGGTCGACCTCCACGTGGTTCCCCCTGGAAACCATCGTGAACAATTCTTGTTGAATTCGTCACGATGGGCCAACTGACCTGTTTCATCCTCACCTATCATCCTTCACTGGTGCCCCGCCGGTGTATACCGATAGCGCGGGTGGGGTTACCATACCATTATCACCCATTAAAAAAAAACTCATTTTACTAATATACTTAATAAAATTGTAATCAGACAAAAAATATATCCTTTTTAGACTCCGTATCAAGATAAATACATACATAGTTGTGTTTCGGTTTGAAGGGTCTCTGTTCGCCCAATGGCTGACTGGTAGAGAACACCGTCCGGTGTTAAGTCCGCCAAATGTACATAGAGTTTTACTGTGCATTAAAGTTTAAATAAATAAATGAACAACTATCCACTGCAGTATGTTAATTTTGGCGATGTTTTAAGAAGGACGCCGCCGCCTATCCCTCGACAATCGATAACGGGTAGCCCGTTTTTTTTATATTATCAAATGTATTAATATTTTAAAAATAAACAACAATAGAAACTCTTTATTGTTTCCACCATAAGATTACAATAGTAAACTTATTATAAATACAAACAATTACAAGAAATAATCTCACAGTGAGAAAACAATGGCGTGAATTTATAGGGTACAGAGGAATAACACCTGAGTCCTCAGGAATGGCAACGCATGGGGGGTATCATGGGCGGAACAGTACACTCTGTTATGTCCATGGTACTGCTTATGTCTATAGGCGACGGTTACCACTTTCCATCAGGTGGGCCGTCAGCTTGTTTGCCATTCCAAGCTGTATAAAAAAAATATACCCGATTTTAAACAAGACCTTAAACGTGAATACTGCATTCAATTTGGCACAGTAATTTTTCCGTGATGCCGAAACAAACAGACAGACGAAATTTCTAAAAAATCATTATATTCGATTATGTTGTTTTTATTTAGACCCCTTATATAAAATTTTATTTAATAAGATTATTTACTTCTATTTTCAAATCAAATTATTTAACTATTTTATTTACGTTTAAATTAGTTTTAACTAATTTATTTTTACTTAAATTTATTTCACTAATTTATTTTCGCTTAAATTTATTGAACTAATTTATTTTCGCTTAAAGTTATTTAATTATTTTTCACTAATATGGCAGACGACTTACGTACAAAGTCTCCCTCTAGTAAACCACTAACTACGTCTAGATTACCATCATGAGAATATTTATTTTTTATTTAACTAACTAATGAATGCGTTACGGCCAACCTTTGCACATTATGAATTCACTGTAAGCTTTATGCCGTCGGCGAGTTCACAGTACACACGCAAATGTGTGGTACAACACTTTGACACTTGCACTTATGCAAATTGTCTATTGTTCCACATTTTGGGGTTTCTAATTGATGACAGTGCTTATGATACTGACTATGTAATTAATAAAATTTGATAATTTATTTATATTTATAATAACAATTAGCCGACATTATATATACATATTTTTTTTAATGGGTGATAATGGTATGGTAACCCCGTCTGTGCTATTGGTATACGCTGGCGGGGCACCAGTGAGGGATGACAGATGAAAATGAAAGTAGGTCAGTTAGCCCCTCCTGATGAATTAAACTAGAATTAGTCACGATGGTTTCCAGGGGGAACCACGTGGAGGTCGACCTGACAGGTGCTATTTGACCCCATTACTAACAATCCCTTTCCCCCCTATATATACATATTCTCGACATAGAATGGGCCACCCCTTCATTTCCTGTGAGTGTCGTAAGAGGCGATTAAGAGAACTTAATAGTCGAGAGATGGACAGCAGCGTCCTTCTTAAAATATCATTAAAGCCTAACTGAGGTTGCCAACCCGCCTGGTACGCGTGACATTTACTGGCAAAAGTACCCTGATGGGGAAACTTATATTTAGCAGTGAACAATTAACGACTGAATGATGATAGTGATGAAATAATGAACATCTAGCTGGGTAACCCAGAATACCCAGACTTAAGATATTATCCAATCCTACGCGGTTTTCACAGTTGTATTCCTAAGGATCTAACATAAATTTGGTGTATGTTTCATCTTGAGACGCCATCTGGAAGTAATTTATTTCAATAGTTTTTTTTTTTTTTTTTTTAATAAAAAGAAAGGGGTGGTTCATTTTATGCCGGATCTACGTGGCTTGTTCGTTGCTTGGTTCCTCATAACACTGCAATGCTACACGGTATTCTAACTTGAGGAGCAGTTGATTAGTGTAATCATATGCTACTTATTATTATTCAAAACTCCATCTCGAGGTAGGTGTATCACCTAGAATAACATGACCTCATACTTCCTTCATTGTCCTGCATCGAACGACCAGACGGGTCGAGAGCCTCCACCCTTATGTCATAGACATACCATTTATATACAGGAGCGCGACTTTCTTCATCGTGCGTACGGTTAAAGAGCAGAACTCTCTCTCTGCTTATGTTTTTCCATTGAAATATAATTTGCACGAATTTACGGCAAATGTGAATAGGCACATCATAGTTTTCTATCAGGTGAGATCGTGATCCATCGCAGGACTTTTAAATAGTAAAAAAAAAAGTAAATGAATCTTGTATTAAACAACAATTTTAATACTAAAACAAAATTATAATATGTAATTATTCAACTAAATATTTTAAAATTTAACGCACAAATATTCTAAAAGTAAAGTTTTGACTTCTATTGCC